CGGGCTCCCGCCCCCGCCCCCGCCCGCTCCGCCGCAGAGCCCGGCCCGCCTGCACCGGCACCGGCACCGGCAGGTCAGCGCGGGGGACTGCGGCTCCCGGGGCACCAGTACCGGGGCCGCCACTGCTGCGGCGGGCGGCGGGAGGGGGCACCGCGGCCCGCGCACCGGGCACCGAGCGGCGGAGCCGGCCCGGCGCGCTGCGGGCGGGGTCGGCGGGATGCGGCGGCCGCACTGTCCCCGCTGTGGCCCCGCACCAGTCGCGGCTCGACTCCGCTGCGCAGCCCCGCCGGTAACCCGCACCGCGCAGCGGGGCCACCGCCGCAGCACCCTGGCGGTCCCGGCCCCGTTCCCGGCCCGGCGGGTCTGAGCCGTGTGTGCGGCGGCAGCGCGGGGCACCGGGCCGAGCATCCCCGCCGGGATGCAGCCGGGACGCGCCAAGGTGAACGGTGCGCGGCGGAGCGGGGCCGCCGGCAGCGGGGACATGGGGCGAGGACACTGGGGATGGAGAACCAGGGAGGTGACGCCGGGAGGGACGCCGGGATTGAGCACCGAGGAGAGGGCACTGGGGATGGAGCACTAGGAAAGGGACAGCGTGGATACTGGGGGTCGGGACCACTAAGCACCAAGGACCACCCACACCGGAGATACCGGGATGAGGAACACCAGGAGACACCGGGAAAGAGAAGACTGGGAATGGGGCCTCTGAGGGTGGGTACGGCTGGGAACAGAGCCCAGGGCTACCCGGGAAGGGACAGCCAAGCCACTGTCTCTCTCCCTGGCCAGTGGCACATCAACCTCGTGGCCAGTTGCACGAGTTCCCTGAGCAGCTGCAGTGAATCCTGGCTCACCAGACTCCCATCCCCACAGGGTCGACTCGGTCCTCACCATGACTGCAGCACAGCTTGTCACCTGGGGGATGCTCCTGGCCACCGGGGTCCCTGCCAAGACCCAGGGGGTGCTGCCGGCAGGGCTGTCCTTAGGTGGGGACCCCTTGCACAGCCCTGCCTGGGGACAGCAGTGGCCAGGCCCATCCCCCACCTGGGAGGCATCGGGGGAGCCGAGCGGTGCCGGGGCCCCAAGGAGTGAGCGCTGGGGGGTCAAGCACCCCGTGCACTGGTCCCCACCGCTGCAGGCGGGGGATGGCACCAGGGCAGCCCTGGAGATGGAAACTACTGTGACAGATGCTGATACCAAGGTCTGGAGGGATGGCAGCACAGTCCCGGCTGTGGCAGACGAGCCATTTGTTGCCTGGCAAGGGCATGAGGCTGAAGGCCAGGACAGCTCCCTGCCCCACGGCTCTGCACAGGGGACATCAGGCTCTGAGGTGTCCACGGACAGAGGGGCAGACTCTCCAGAGTCACCCTGGGCAGGGCAGGACCTGTCCTTGTCCAGGCAGAGTGTCTCCAAGAGAATCGGCAGACCCAGCCCTCAGCCAACCGTATCTGCCACTGCCCTGGACGCCAGGCTGGCAGCGGGGATCAGGACAGCAGATGCCCATACAGCGGTGGAGAGACACACAGCCGCCCCGGGCCTTTCTCAGGATGCACAACTCACTTCAGCCAGCAGCCAGTCGGTCCCACTGGGCACAGCCCCTGTGTCCAGTTCCACAGACGCGGGGCCAGCCTGGGGTCCCCATGCCAGCCCTGGCTCTGCGCAGCCGGTGGGCAGCTGGGGGGACACGGGAGGGCCCCCCAGCCCCTCCCCGGCCCTGACCAGCTCTGCCCCACGGCTGCGCCACACAGCGCCGTCCTGGGGGCTTGCCGAGCCCTGGACTCGAGTGCTCCCGTCCCACCAGCGCAGCACCCGGAGGGCCCCACTCAGCGCCGCCACCACCACCCCTGGGGATGCAGCCCCCCGCACGGACCCTGGGACTACGGGGCAGCGGGGACCCCAGCCCGCCGCAGGGTCTGTCCTCAGCACCGGCCCTGCGCCACCCCCCGTCTCCAGCACGGCTACCCCCAGTACCCCGAGCAGAGGTAGGAGCCAGCACAGTGCGGGGGGATCCCTCGGCGGGGACCAAGCCCCCGCAGGTGTCAGCGCTCTGCTCTGCTCTCTCTTGCAGGGTTGCTGCCCGAGGAGGACGTCGGCTCCCCGCAGCAGGTCCGGGGCGCCGTGGGCCCTGTGAGCGTCCCAAATGCCACCAAGACGACCCCACAGCCAACGGCACATCCCACCACGGGGACGCTCGGGACAAGGCATCCAGGTGATACAGGGCTGCGTCCAAGCTCATCCATTCTGCAGATGCTGCGGGAGCCCATCCCTGGGGCGTCTGAGCTGCGGGGGGATGGCAGCTATCTTGGGCTGCCCAGCCGGGACACAGTGACACCTTCAATCAGGATTGCCACCTGACAACGGCCCTAATCTACTCCTGCCAGCAGGGATTAGCGCTAAATGCTCGGTGGGTGGGGGTTTCCCCAAGGGGGCGGGGGACGTGACCGAGGATGTGCCACCCCTTGCACTGAGCGTCCTGACAGAGATCGCCGGGAGGCAGCGGTGGGCATAGCCCCAGCCAGCACAGGGCGTCCCCCGCGGCAGTGCTGGGGTGCCACAGCTGATGCAGCCCAGGGTGGAGTGCAGGTGTGGGCCGAGTGCCACTAAGCCCCCCACTTCCCCCTGACCGTCCTTCTCCTTCCTACCTGCAGACATGCCAGGGACTCAGACCCCAGCGTCCAGCACTGCGACCCCCTCCGCCACGTGGCGACGGGCAGGGATAACGCCTCAGCCAGTCCCCCGAGATCCATCATCGCCGCAGCCACAGTCCAGCCGTGCCCCCCCGGCGTCGGGAGCCAACACGACCGGGCTGCGCTGGGCCGAGCTGCAGCAGCAGCTGGGTTTCTCCTGGGAGGCCCATGTCTACGGATTGGCTGCCGTCTTCCTGCTGCTGGCGCTGGGCTGCCTGGCCGGGTTGGCGGGGACAGCCATCCTGCGGCCCGCACACCTTCCCCACGTTGTGGGAGCCCAGGGGCTGCTACTGGCCGCCTGCCTGCTGCGGGCCACCTTCCTGCTGCTGGATCCCTATGGGGCACGGGGCCGTCTGCCCACTCCAGCCCTGCTGCTGCTCAACACAGCCCCTTTCCCCCTGCTGCTCGCCGCCTTTGCCCTCCTGCTCCAGCGGCTGCAGCGCCTGGCCCAGCTTCAGCTGCTGCCATCCCGGCTGCGGGGGCTGCCGGCGCTGGGGATTCTTGCTGCCCTGCCGAGTGCGGTGATGGGGGCCGCCGACCTGCTGCCGCCTCGGCTGGGCCTCACCGCCGCGCTGGGGCTGCAGGCTCTGGGCTGCTGCCTGGCCGGGCCTCTGCTGCTGCTGGGGGGGCTCTGGGGGTGCTGGCGGGTGCTGCGGGCGCCCTGCGAGGGGCCGGGGCCGCAGCCGGGGGCACGGGCGCTCCTGGCGGCAGCGGTGGCGGGGCTGCCGCTCTGCGGACTGCAGCTCTACAGCGCTGCGTGGCTGCGAGGGGTCCTGGGGCCCCACGGGCGCTTCTCCCGGCCCGGCTGGGCGGCACAGCTCTGGCTGCGGATCGGCGAGGTGGGCACGGCCGTGGCGCTGCTGGCGGCCGCCGCCGAGCCTGTGTGCCGCCGGTGCCGCCGCCGGAGCCCCGCCGGCCACTCTTGCTGGGCCAAGGCACTGCGGTACTTCTGTGCCGGCCGCAAAGCTGAAGCACCCGAATACCCCAACAACTGCTACGACTGGGCCGGTAGCAGCACCGGTGGCACCGGTGTGGAGCGAACACCCGCCAACGACATCTCCAAGAACCTCATCCGCAACCCGGCGGAGCAGCTGCCCCTGCGGGCTCTGAAGGACAGCAACGAGGTCTGGGCAGCTGGTACCGGGATGCCGGGGCTCAGCCCCAAGTGCCCCAACATGTTGGCCGCCCGCTCCTGCGCTGCCTTCGAGCAGGGCTCGTCCCCCTCCCTGGGAGAGCTGATCTTCCGCCCGCCGTCCCCCATCGACCTGCGCCGCAGCATCGACCAAGCGCTCTGCCGCCGCCACCTCCTGCACGACGGCCTCTTCAGCCGGCCCCGACGCGGTTCCGGCTCCTCACTGCACGGCTCCCCAGCCCCTGACAAGACCCCCAGTTTGGGGCGCATGGTGCGCTGCAGCTCGCTCACGGAGCTGCCCGGCCCCCGCCAGCCCCCCGGCACCGTCACTGTCACCGTCACCGCCTCAGCCAGCTCGCTAGAGAGCAGCTCACTGAAGATCAGCTGGAACCCCTGGCGTCATGGGCTGTCCTCACCCGACAGCCTGCCCCTGGACGAGGCGCCCAGCCGGGCCCCTCTCCTGGTGCCCGCTGGAGCACCCGGCTGGGAGCGCGAGGGTCCCCACGCCTCCCCAGCCCTCGGCAAGGCGGTGGACTCCCGCAGCCTCTCCAGCGACACCATTGAGCTCTGAGCCCGGGACAGGCAGAGACTGGGGTGCAGGAGGACAATGAGCCCAGTGTGAGGGTGCAGGGGTCTGACCATACACCCCTGTAGGGCCGGGTAGGGGTGGTTCCATTTGTGCCAAACGAGAGAAATAAAGAGTTTATGCTGGGAGGAGACAGTCCGGTTGGCATGTGAAAGCGGTGGCGGGCAGCAGCACCCCCAATCCCCGCCAATTCCCACCCTGAGCAGCCAAGCTGGGTGTGCAGAGCTTTATTTCCTGAGATATGGACACATGGACAGATGGGCACACCCCGACAGACAAACCACGGACAAATGCAACAGCCACACTCATGCATCCCACAGGGCCCCCTCACTGGCACAGCACCCTGCCAGTGGCTAGGGGCCCCTGGCACCCCAGCCTGGGAGGGGAGATGGGCTCTGCCCAGGGATGGGGGGCAGCTCTCCCAGCCACACAGCTCAGGGCATGGGGGGACGCAGCCTCCCACTCTCCCACAGGGAATGGCCTCATGGGAGGGGAGTCCTACAGGGCCAGGAGCCCCAGCCTTGGGGCAGATAGCAGGTTCCCTCCCTCACCTGCCCCTCCACGCCCTCACCTGTCACAATGCCAGGCCTCTCCTCCAGACCACGAGGAACTGGGGGCAGCATGCTGTGCCCCCCACAGGATGCTGCACTGCCTGATATCACCCCTCCCAGCCAGAGGAGGCTGTGTGGGAGCCCCCAGGATCAGGTACTCCTGGCTCATTCTGCAGGGACAGGGAAAACAAGATCCTATGCTAAAGGGGGGCTGGGGAACGCATGCAGGGCACAGCATCATGTGCAGGATGCGGCCTTGGCAGCCAGTCCTGCTTGGGGGAGGCCCTGCACCCCAAGCTGAGTCTGCCCCTCCACTTGCACCCAGCAGTTCCAGAGCTATCTGCCCTTCATGAAGCCATCGAGGACACGGTCACTGCGGTCAGAGAGCCAGTAGCCGGCCATGGCGGCCACGGCGCCGATGAAGATGGCGGTGAAGACCATGTCACCCTTGGCAGCCAGAGTGGCAAGGGCACAGATCATCACACCAAAGAACATCTGCTGCAGCACCACCACCTCGTCATCAGTCACGTCATCAAAGAAGCCCTTCTCTGGGGCATCTGCACGGACAATACTCGTGGGAGGGCACAGCTGACCAACAAGAGCCCCCCACTGTGTCGCATACCCCCTGCCCAATGCCCATGTCCCCCTGTGCTGCATTAAGCCATACCAGGGGGCTTGTCCTCAACGCACTGCCCGTCTCGGCGGATGTGGCCTTGGGCACAGACGCAGCGGTAGCTGCCCTCTGTGTTCTCACACACCTCCTGCACCCCTGTGCACACTGGCTCCTCGGCACTGGCACACTCATCCACGTCTGGAGGGGAGGCAGGGATCAAGCAGGGCTTGGGCAGTGAAGAGGGGGAAGTATGGCCCCCAAGTCCATGGGAGGCACTCACCCAAGCACTTGGCTCCATCCCGCCAGTAGCCCTTGTTGCATTTCTTGCAGCGAGCCGGCCCGGCACCCATGCAGCCAATGCAAGCTGTGGAGCAGTCTGCCTCAGGGAACGGAGACAGGGTTGCTGCTGGAGCTCCTTCCCAGCCTAGCCAGGGTTGGCCCCAAGTAGGGAAGAGCCACCTGCATGAAAACTCCCCACCTCCCCCTGACCTCGGCACTCGTAGGAGCCCTCCGTGTTGACGCAGTACTGGTTGGCTCGGCAATGCGCCATCTCTGTGCCACACTCATCTATGTCTGCAGGAAAGATGGGAATGGCCCCACTGAGCCTGAGCTCTGGGGATGCAGCCCCCACAGCCCTGAGCTCATCCCTGGCCTTCACTCACCGATGCAGCGGTGCTCATGCAGCACCCAGCCCCTCTTGCAGCGAAGGCAGCTGGAGTCCTCGGGCCCTGTGCAGCGCCCGCATGCCTGGTAGCACTCTGTGGGCAGGGAGGGCAACGTGGACACAGGCAGGGGGCAGCTACCTGTACCCACTGCCTGGGCAGCACCAGTAGAGCCCCCACCTACCAGCACACACGAGGTGGCTCTTGTTCCGTGAGGCCTCATAGTAGCCGTCACCACACTCGGCACAGAAGGGGCCACCGTAGCCCGGGCTGCAGACGCAGAGGCCGGTGCCGCGGCGTGTGCCGTCACCATCGCATCGCCCATTGCCACTGCAGGGCTGTCGGGGCCCACCGGCACAGGCTGCATGAGGAGAGACCAGCCAGCTGGCAGCTGGGGCAGGGGGCAGCAGCCAGGGGGGCCCCTCCAGCCCTACCAGCACCCTGCTCATCCCACAGTTACTCACACCGGCAGTCCGGGCCGTAGGTGCCGGGTGGACAGCAAAGCATCAGTCTGTCCACACACAGCCATTGGAAAAAGTCAGGGTGCTGCTGCCGCCTGGGGAGGGGGAGATACAGCATTCAGCCCCCTGCCATCCCCTGTGCCCCCTGTCATCCCCTGTGCCTGTCCCCAGACTCACTCATGGAACCACCACTGCTCCACGTGCTCCTCACTCCGCTCCAGCAGTTGGTGGCAGGTGAAGTCCGAGGGGGCACAGACACCCTCCAGCACCTCCAGCAGACGGGTCTCACTGCAGAGACCCAAGTCAGTGTGGGATATTACTTCTGGAGCAGCTGGGCTCCCCCAGCCCCTCATTGGGGTCACTTACCTGTGCTGGTACTTGGACAGCTTCTCCTCCTCCCAGGCTGTGTTACCCCCACCAAAGCCCTCATGCTCTGTCCGCTCCAGGCCCTGGGTGCATGGGGCAGTGGCAGTGCAGGCATAGGACCCCCCCAATAACCCCTCTATCCGTAGGGTTCCATAAGACACATCACTTCCAGGGACTTGCCACCCTCTTCCCTCCCCAGAGCCCAGTCACTGTGCCCCTGGGAATGCTGCAGGAGTGCCTCCACTTCATCACTGTTCCGCCCAAGACACCCCTCTACTGGGACCGGTCACCCCCCCCTTACCCCCCGGCCTGTGATGCCTCTGGGCCCCCCAACCGCATCACCCCACCCAGGACCCTCTTCGTCCCTGCTCACTGTCACCTCCAGGCCGTGTCCCCCATGTGTGCCACCCGCGGGCCCCTCCCGTGACTGCCCCCAGCTCCCCCCCCCGAAGCAGCGGCTGTGTCACCCCACACCCCTCGATGCCACTGCCCCCCGCGCGCCCCCTCGCCGCGGCCTCCATCACTCCTGTGCCCCCCCGCCCCGCACCCTGATGAAGCTGTCGGTGAGGCCGCGGCAGGCTCGGCACGGCTCAGCCCCGTCTCGGTGGGGGTCGGGGTCGGCGTGAGCCGCCAGCAAAACCCCCCCGAGGAGGGCGGCGCCCAGGAGGGCTCCCCCCAGCCCGGGCCCCCTGCGCCGGGGCGACCGCGGCAGCAGCGGCAGCGGCCCCATCGTCCGCCCGCC